GGGGGGGGGTGTGAAATCACACACGTCTCTGGATTGAATTTTAGCAAGAAGTTTAAAAAAAAAGTTGGGAGGTCCATCAGGACCTTCCTTACCTTGTGTGGTCTGCCAGCTCAGTCCCCCGACGAACATTTTGCTAAAAAAAATATGAAGAGAGAGAGGGAAAAAAAAGACAAAGACACAACTCAGACATGGGATTCGGCCATGTTGGCACCTCACACACACATTTAAAAGAAAAAAAAAGTAAGTTGGGCCGTTAACCCAAAGCACCTTTTTTTTCCAAAAGAAAGTCAACGTTACAGTTTAAAATCTGAAGTAGTTATCCAAAAAATTGTTTGAATATTGGTAAGCAAATGTGATTTTTTTTAAAGAAGGAAAAGGGTTGAATAAATGAATTGGATTTGAGCTCCTGTACCAGGGATCGTGCTGAGAGTCTGCACTGAGCACCGAATTGGCTTGGTTAGCGTCCGCCTCCATGAGCTTCCAGTCCCAGCCAAGGCAAAGAAGGGCCCGCTTCAGCGAGAGCTGGGGATGCACAGAGGGGGAGCAAGGGATCGTCACTGGCGGGAGGGGAGGGAAGGGGCAGCCCGGCCGAGCGGCTCCTCATGACCCGGCCTGAACCCCCTCCCCCCTCCGCCGGAGCCCCGCCCCCTAGCCGGTTAGGCCCCGCCCACTTTCGTCCCGCCCTCCCTGCGGGGTAAGCCCCGCCTCCCGCTTGGAGCCCCGCCCCACGCCCACGGGTACCAGAGCCCCGCCCAGAAGCCGGCTCAGTTAACTCCCCCCCTTCACCTCACGTCAGCACCCCGCCCCCGACCACAAGGGGCCCGGCCCCGCCCCTTCAGCGGCTCCACAAGGCTCATCCCCGCAGACTCTTACTGGCCCCCTGACCCTCACACGCTAACCTTCGAGGCTCAGCACCGCCTCCACATCCAAACCACGCCCGTGTAGCTAGGCCCCGCCTCCATATACCTCGGCTCCGCCCCCTTACGATCACATGCTCGCCCCACACACCCCAAAAGCCCTACCTCACCACTACCGACGCCCTCAGCCCC